CAAAGGTGACACGATTTCGGCAATTGGAAGGAACATCCTCCCCAATGTTATGGTCACTTTCCAATCAATGAAAACTAAACAAAAGTGCATGTTCTTATGTCATCAAACAAGATGTCTAGGGCACCGCTAAGCTTCATTCTATTTGCATGTAGCACACTCAACGAAATTTAAAGCACCATCAAATCACACATTAACTCTAAATCAGCACAAAAGTAAACATAAGCAGAAGTTGTGCTAGTGTTAAAAACATCACATTCTTCTATGATTACAAGATTGTTCACAGCATGCGATGCCTTCGATAACGTTAGCTGTCAATGTGGTAGTAGCTAAAGACCTCACATTGGTCCAGGTCTGGTTGACACGTCTGCGAATATCTCAAGGAATACACTCCCCGCAGTAGCGGCATATGGTAGATGAAATGGAACTCAAGTGAGGAGACTAAACATGTTAAAGTGCCTGTGCATCGAGTCCTACCCTCCTACCTCTATGGCATTCGGCTTGCATATTCTTTTTTACAGAAGGGAGTGAGGCTTGAAATGTCGAGTTGTAGAACCTGCCGACAGTGGTGATCTGCAGAAGTTTTACATCTCTTATGAATGGGACAAGGATGTACACATGAACAAACAAATAGTGGTTGAGTTGGGAGACGAGGTAAATGTCTTTTCTTTCGCAAATGACCTGTGCTTATGTGTGCTGAGCAGGAAAAAGAACCAAGATTCTTCAGCTGTGTGTAGGAAAAGTTTCCTTGATTATCTCCTTTCGGTAACAAGTGGACATAATACACACAACTCGTAGCTGAGCAAACATTGACATTGCCCCAGGGATCATACAAACGTTTTCTCCCCATCACACCATATTAAGAAGCAAGCTTTTTCCCTTTCACACTTATTGATTCCTCCACGCTGACTATCCGATCAAATGATCAGCAACCGGAAGCAGACGGAGGAAACACTGCACCTGAAAAGAGAAATACCTGTAACCTTACCATTTGTTTAAAACACATAACTGCATCTCAACACAAAATAGGTTGCTGCATTGTCTAATTCCTTCAGCTGCATGTATTTACCTAGTGATTAGGCAAATAATCTCTCCCCCAGGACAAGACGAAATAGGTGCCTTATGTGCTAACTTCAAATTCAATCAAAACTGCAAGTTCTAAAGGTACATAACACATTTACAAGCTTCTGTCTTCTTCAGCTACTCAGGGAAAAATCGTTTTATATAATCATTGGCCAGTGAAAGTTCAAATCTTGTGGACGGAATATGAGCAAGTCTTTCGGCCTGTGTATTGACCAGTGCTGATAATATTTATGTTGCTGTAAATCATTTTAAACTGAAACACACCAAAGAAAGTGGTAATCTGCTTTGATTTTATTTACAAATTCGTATTTTAGTTTGTTTAAGTGGGTAGCTTAGGGCTTATTTGACGCCCAAATGTGCGTCGATCTTTTGGTGTCATAATTCCATCGTAAGTCCTGCTGATTGTTAACGTGTTTCAGATAAACACCTGCCTGCGAAACTGATGGGGGCAGCATTGAAATCCAGCCATTTACATGAACCAGATGAGCCCGAAGGAAACAAGAGAGACAACGAGGGAGGAGTACAGCAACAAGTAAGCAAATATTTTTATTATTAGATGTACATCATTGCAGGTAGTGCTGCGTAAAGTTTCGCAATACTATCAAGCTTATTATTGCTTTTCTAGCAAATGGAAAGTTTATCGCCTGGATTTTTGGTCCTTAACTACTTTGCTTTAACACATGTTGCCCTATCCGGTTGTTAAGAATGAATATGTCGGTTGTTTTGCACAGGTCATTATTTTACCACATCGCAAGGGTGCCACTTTTTCTACGAAACCAAAGGGTTTTGTAAGCGCTTGACGGCTAACTAAACTTAAAAGGCAACAGGCTTATTTCCGGAACCATTATAGCCAAGAAAGTGTGGTAAATGTTCACTATGAAGTAACCCATTGTAAATGGCAAAAGTCACATCGCTAAGGCGTCATTACGTGCATTTGCATACTGTCTACCGTCTGCCACAATTTGCTGCAGAAAGTGTATGTTTGTCTGTGATCTCGAACACGCTGAGTAGCATTCCTGTTTTACATGCCCAGCTCTATCAATTTGGCATTATTCGAACAAGAGTGATTTATCTGCAGAATATGTAGGGCTTGCTCTTGCGGTGCAAAGCGATCTGTGCATTGAAGAACCGTTGTGATGTTATGTAAACTAGAGAACTTACTTGACAGTAGCAGACAGAAACGGGAAGAAGTAGAATAAGTCGGTGGCGTGACACAAAGGAGGATTGCTTTGGAGTCTTTTGTGAGAATATTTGCGAAAGTAACGCGTTCAAAGCAGAAAATCGAGTAATTTATCATTATTGCTTTTGTGTGGTTGATTATTTGTGAAGACGGCCCTCAGTTGAGGCACTCTTGAATGTCGATTGAATTGCAAACAAGTGAATGTTGTGAGAATTTACTTGGTATACGATGACAGTATACCACGAGACAATTAATGCCATATTTGTTAAGTAGTGGAAGACTTTCAGTGGAGCTGAGCTGCATCACTCGTAGTTAGAATAATGGGATTGTGGTTAACTAGAATGGGGCTGATGTCTGACATATATCATGAGAATGCATTAAGTTTGTCTGTTTTACGCAATAGATGGACGACGTACAACTGGAAGAGCGGGGGCTTTCACGAGACTGCAACGACTCAAATGGCAGCTCATTCGCCACTCTCTTTTGTTCCTCCTCTCATCTATTTACTGAAAGCAATGCGTCATGGAAATCGCCCTCTCCCAAGGCTTTTGCTACCGCTTCTGTGCCTCCACTTCCAATGCCTAATGAGGCTGCAAATCCACAAAGAGTAGGATCGACCTCCAGTATTTGCCAAGATGGTTTCTATTTTTGTCGAATCTGTAGAGAATCTAGTGAATTCACAAATGAAGGAAAGCTGGACTCTTGCGGACGATTGATTGCACCTTGCATGTGCGACGGAAGTTTGAAGTATGTGCACGAGAGGTGTGTTCAACATTGGATTGAAGTCAGTCAATCGAGGAGTTGCGAGGTGTGCCGCTTTGAATATGAGATTCGCACCTGTACAAAGCCGATAAAAGAGGTAAGGTTGTGCGAATTAGAGCAGAACCCTAACCAGACCTATCAGGAACTCACTGGTGCACTAACAAATCTGTCAATCAAATGATTTCTAAAAAAACACTTGTTAACCGACTATCCTGCATCCTTGGCTCCGCAACCATCAGTTCACAAATTTATCTTCAATTTGTCCAGTTACCCCTCTAGCCCTCAACTGTTGGCTGGTCTCTACTGGATACTCTCACCTCTCGCTCAAGCTTCCTACCATTTGGAATCCACACATTTGATCTCACCCATTCACTGACTCTTCCAACTTATCTCCTCCTTCCAAAAACTCATTGCTCCA